CTACTACTACCAATACTACTGCTACTACTACCACCGCCACTACCACTGCCACTACTGCTGGCTGCTACTTCGACTAGGACTCGACGACTACTTACTATAGCTACTGCTGCTGCTGCACAACCACTCCCACTGCCATTAACACTTCCAGTACAACCACTGTTAACAACCACTAGTAGAGCTATTTCCAAAGTATGCCGACAGAACGGATGCCCAGCACAACTAACCGTAATTCTTCGAGCGAGCTCGCTTGAGGATTGCCGCAACAAGCCCAAGCAACTACAGTGGCTGTTCCGCTTAGCACCCATTTCAGAGCCTCAGTGACTCGGTAGGTAATCCGCCTCTTGCTGTAAAGTGTGCGACCAAGGTGGCATGGCGTGGAGGCGGCTTGAGGGTTTCAGGTTGTAGGGTGCTTGATGCTAGGGATGGTTGGGGATGCTGCTGGAAAGGTCACCCCGCAGACCGAAACTTGCGGCGTGAGAAACCCGATGCGTACGGCTGTTCAACCGTATCCGCACATGACATGCGTTGAAGAAGCCCTCGCCTTACGAAGCTTCCGGCAGGGCCAGGCCAAATCCAAGCAGCATCTCGGCTCAGCATTTGTGAGGTTAAGCTCGCTTGCGAGCTAAGGGTATGGTGGTGTCTTTCAGTTGTTGAGAGTTCACAAGTGTGAAGTCTTCCTTGCTTTTTTTCCGGGCCATTGAAAAAATCATTCAATCATGTCAGTCTCTTCGATGCTCCCACTGCGGAGTAAGCCTGGAGGTTGGAGGACGCTCCTCCGGTGGACCCCGCGCCGGGAGTCCTAGGACCTTCAATCATGCAGAGCTGAGGTTTATGTTTGTCTTTGGGCCTGGGTTCGCATGACATCCTACTGGTGCTCTGTATATGCAGTTTAGCGATGGCGACTGCTACCTTCCGAAACCTCTCAGTGGGTTCGGCGCTCGTCATGACCCGTGTCTAGTATTGCACGGCATGACATGTCTAGTCTTTGAGGTCTGGGATCCAGCCAAGCATCACGAGTCTATTGGATGTCAGGTTTAGAGTCCCGGATCACAGGTTGAGAGGTCACGATTCAGGCTCGTGGCTCTTGGCGCGTGAGGTTTCGATTATGGAATTTCAGCTTCCCACCTCATGCTGGGCACGGGGTGCGCGAGCGGAACTTCGGTGTGACGGCTTGATGTTTCTGTGAAGGTGGCAAAATACTGGGGACTAATGCGCCTGCTGCTTCATGTTCGGCAGGAAGGACGAGTTTTTCGATTTGGGTTTGGGTTGTCGGGTTGTGGGCTTTCCAGGTTCACCAGGGTTCGAGCAAGAGCACTTCATGGTCGTCATGGTCGTGTTCTGCTTTCACTGGTTTGGGGATTTACTTTGGCATAGTTTGTCAAAGAATTTGGGCTGGCGGCAACATGAGAGGCTCGTGGACCGAACACACAGGCTGTCAAGCCTGCAGCCGCCAGAATGCAGAATTCACAGTTTCATGGGGCTTACCCTACACTTTCGGACCCTTGACACCGTTGAGGTACGGAGATGATGACTTGGGGCTAGGTGCCCTGGCAAGAAATCGCTCAGCTCATGTGGCTCTTTCTAAACATTGATCGGACAGTCTGTAAGGACTGCAGGTGACTGCGATCCTTTCCTGTGCCTGCACTCGTGTTGGTGTCAACTTCTGCAGTCTTGTCGACACAGGATCGGGAGATTTGATGCATCCGCTCATCTCCTTGGACGGAGCTACTTGCCTACACGAGCCAAGTTGGTGCAACGTCCTTCAAGAAGGGAGGCCGTATGGCAAGTCTTCGGGGCAGACTGTGGAATTCCAAACTTCCTTGCCTGATAGAGTTGAGCGGCGGGAAGGGCTGCAAGAGGGATGATGTAGTGGGTTGGCTTCGGGTGCAATGCTGCAGCATTTGTAAGACTTTCGGAAAAGTACCCCGAGCAAACGTGCAGACCACACAATACCCATGTTGTGAGTGTGCAAGGATTCCATGTTCATGATGCTCTCCGCGTTGGGCTTTATTGCCGACATGTCGGAGTTTCAGATTCATACGAAGGTTTTGTCAGAATCTGGACGTCACCAGTAGTGGGTTGGCACAGTTTTTGCAGTGCAACGTCACCTAGCCTCGCCCTGAGTTTGTCTAGTCTGCATCGGAATCACCACAGAACTTGAAATGTTGAAATCGTTGGAGAAGTTCGGAGTCTACCTACACGAAGGAGCAAGATCATTGATGTGGTCGGTAATAAATGCAAATGATTGAGTAAACAAGTAGCTGCAACATGAGAGCACCTGTCAAGACTGCAGTTCGTACACCGCGACGTTGTCGACCATATTATTATCGTTAGTTATTAGACAGTCTTTCTTCCCACCGTTGTTATTGTTGCTGCTGTTTTATGTTGCTAAATGTTATTCCTGTGTTTATTCATGTGAAAACTCAGACTGCAAGACAAGTAGCTGCTGCGACAGGCTCTGATTCGACAACCGCTTAGTGGGAAAGGCATCTTCCACGGAGGCGCAGAGTTTAGGGGTTTCGTGTTTGCGGTAGAGTTTGGAAACTGTATGAAACTATGTGGAACAAGTCCTGCGGCTCAAGGATAAGACTCCTGAGATACATGCAGCTGTGCTGACGAGTTCGGTTCTTGCAGCGGACCCTGCAAAATGCGGATCTTTTGCAGAAGCATGTGTAGGAGTGTCTTTTCTGGGTCTGCAGAGTCTAGTCTAGTCTGCTTGTGACAGTGCGTAATGTCTGCAGCGTCTCCACCTGCCAATGTGAACTTAAGTGCAGCGTCCGGGATTTTCAGGAATCAGGAACAACTGAAATGCTTCGATCTGCCGATGCAACCGTCCTAAGACCTAAGACCTCCCTCCAGCAGACAGTGTTCAGTGGGTAAGCCTTTTACTCGAGAGGGCGCCTGCTTTTCAATTTAGTAACGTCAGCCCCGGCACTGGAAGTTTCTTCACGTTGTGCGGAGAAATGGCCAGGCATCACCTGGGACTCGCCTCACTGGCAACGACACCGCAAACTGCCGAAGGGATGGAGGATGCAGGAAATCCTGGACTCCGCTGAGGCACAAGTTTGCGTGAGTTGTGGGGTTGTTGTTGCCTGTCGTTGCAAAACCTGAGAGAAACCAACACACACTTAGCTACTCGGCTGGACTTCACCCAGTTCTTCCACGATTCACAGGCTCAACAACAGAGCCTGCCGCCAAAGTTGCTACTGCGGCTAGCAACTGCAGGGTCTGCTCGGAAGAATCCCCGGGATCCTTCATCAGCCAAGAGAATCTCAGCAACTACTGATTCAATTGTTGTGTCGTCCCTTTTATGCTGAATCAAGGGTGTTGATTGTTCATCCTTGCTGGTATTGTCGATGTTGTCAGTTGTCAAGCTCCCATCCCATGCCATGGACAGGACGGCCCATCAAGAGTAAGCTAAATCCAGAAATATAGAGTCATACCCAACATAGAAGTCGTGTCAACAGCCTGGCAGAAAGAGATGAAGCATCAACCAGCAAACGACGTCCAGTGGTTTTTGCAGTGAAGAAAGACGATATCAGTGCGAGCGGGGGTGGTTGCACATGGGTCATGCGTCTAGTTGGTGTCGTCTTATCTGGATGTCCACGTCATTGACTGTCAACATTGCCTCCTTCGTGCTCAGCAAATTGGCCATGCTGATGCTGGTGTTGCTGCTGTTGATGACGATGTTGCCGATGGAGATGATGGTGATGCTGATGCTGATGCTGATGATGATGTTGATGTTGATGATGTCAATAACAATGATGACGATGATGATTGATCTTAACAATGATGCTGATGGTGGTCATCACCACCTTCACTATCATACTGCCTCATCATCGTCATAATCAATTTCGGGCTTGGTGTATATGGTTGAGGCCGTTGATCATCATCGTTGTCGTCATCATCGTTACGCTCGTCATAATCATCATGGTCATCACCATTATCATCGCCACTGTCTAGGGAAACATTCACAGTGTAACCGACAGCGTCCTCCTTATACCATCGTAGCCATCATCACCACATGATCACCACCATGATCATCGTCGCCACCGCCGCAATCATCACAGGAACATGTATGATACCCGGGGCAAGAAGATGATTGGCATGTTGTGGGTAGAAGTTCGAGTCATGGACGCGAGGATGTTGACAAGCCCTCGTGACGAAGTTCCTGACTATATCGAAACTCTACAACCCAGATTCCAGATCCCAGCCCCTGAAGCCGTAAGTTCTTCGACTGGGTGGCGCTTGGCCTGGCTATGATTCTGGCCTACATCCTTCGACATTACTGGCTTTGGCAGGCCTGCTGCCGCAAAGTGCGGTTTCGGGTCTCGGCCCAGTCCAGGCGTTTGCAGTTGTTGTTTTTTCCCGAGGTCTGCTTGGACACTTTCCCGGCTCTACCAGCATCTGCTGGCGTTACGTGCCCAAAATACTGTAGCATTCCTGGCAAGAATGGCTCGAAATCCTGCACAGGTGCTTTAGCCACGCAAGATTTGCTAGTTGAGTTTATTTGGCCACATGCAAAAGCGTGTCATTTTCCATGACTTTGATGTCACAACCGGGATTTAGTAGTGATTTAGGGTATTGGTATAAGAATAAGGTGTACTTGGCATGCTACATGCCCTGTGTGCAGCGAACGTGACTCAAGGGCCTGTTCACCAAACAATAAAGCAGAGCTGAACTCAACACCATCGCACCTCCCCGTCTCGAATGCTCATAGTGGTTACAGACCTCCTCATAATATGTACTCAATGTACTCCAAATCCCAAATCATCAGAAGGCATTGCCTGACATCGTTCGACTCACAAATGGAACGTGTTTAGCCTTCTTCAGCCCGGCGAGATGTGCAGCCGGGCTTTGTTGCGAGAAAGCTCAAGCTTGGACTCCGAGAGATAACATAGTGGTATGTTCAAACTCGATGTCATCAAGAAGGGCTGAGAAGTGTGTTGCCAGGTCGCAGGGGAGAAGCAGCATCTTGGCCAGAATCATTCGGAAGAAGGACCAGAGACCCAAAGGTTAGTCAGGATTCTGAGCCCTCCTGGTACAGGGCTTTCAAGCTGTACACCGGGCGAAGGCCTTACGTAAAGCTGCTTGAAGAATTATTTGAGTTCATCTGCAAAGATGACCGCACTGAATAGAGCTGTCCAGCATAGTCCAGCAGGGCAAAGTGTGGTAAAATATGCTTGAATCATCAGTTTTGGATCCGCCTGCCAGCCTTCTTTGCTACCACGACTCAAGAAGATCAGTAGCAGTGATAATGGTCAACTTTATCACCACCGTCGTTGTCTTCATCTTGCTTATCATCACCACCACCAGCGGCATCAGCTGTTATGCCTATGCATCCGGATCTGTATCATCTTGATGTTTGCTGCCAGCATATCTCAGGATGGCCTCGCACGGGGTGTCCTTGTTGATCTGGCTGGGGCTTGGGGGCGCACTGGCTTTCGCGATCTCGATGCGCTTTGGCAAGGCACTTGGGGTTCATTTCAGCGCGCATTGAGCACCTTTGCAGCCAGCAGGAGTGTTGCACTTGCTGTGTTGGGCTCGGACTCGGGATGTAAAGGACAAGCGGAGTGTTTTTGTGCTGTGTCACATCCGTCATATTAATGGCTTTGTGGTCAAGTCAGGCTGGAAGTGTCAAGCTGTGCATTACGTGGCTTAGCAAGTCGATGTGACCGCTGCTGTGCACGAAGGACTGCACGAGTCAGTGCTGTCCACTTAGACACAAGCTTTCGTGATGATGACTCCCATTGCTCAGAAGAACACATCATTACTGGTTCTTACAACTTAAAATCGTCGCGCGATATGATGTTGCTTAAAAGCTGTGCGGAAGGACTGGGTGCTTTACCATGTGATCAGCACCGTGTCCTCGTTTGAAACCCATCCACCTGTGTGATCAAACATATTTCTCGTTTCGGTGGCAGTCGCAGGGCCATGGCGAGGAGTGGATCGCAGGCTACTTCTTCGAGTTTTTCTTCATGCTCGATACTGGGTTTGCACATCCGGCGTGTTCTTGCCAATGCCAAAACATTGCCTACAAACCCTCAGTAACATTTCTGAGCGTGAACTCGAAGCAAAACCCATCATTCATCAGTGCTGCCAAGACTGAAGCCATCATTACAGACGTGAAGCCTGCTACACATACTTGCCACGGCGTTTTTAGAAAGGAAGGGTGTGGGCAAGGGTTACTAGGTAAGAAGAATCATGGTATGTGTTGCGGGCATGATAACTGCTCTGTAAACCAAGGAAAACGTCTTCGTCTTCCGAGCTGTCATCACCGCCCTATCCCTCTCAGATGCCCTTGTGGCGAAGGTGCTCGAGACTTGGACTGACGTTATTTCTATGCAGTTTTTGATGTGACCGTTGCAACAGCAGCCAAAATGCCAAAATGTATCAGCCGGCCAAGATTGCAGAAACGAAGAAGCACCCTGAACTTTGGAGTCATACAGAGCCGAAGTGCAGTTTCTGATGTCTTGCACTTCCAACGAGGACTGGGTTGTGAATTGTCAGATCATCTTCGAAGCGGTGCCTTGGGCGACACCTTGATCCGCTACGGTCGGCATATGCTGCCTGAGTACTAGCCTTTCAAACTTAACGCTTTGTCTTTCGAACTGGGCTCTCAAATCGACGATATACTCTTTCATCACAGGTGCTTTTGTGGTGTCACTCAATCCGTACATTTTTCCACTTCATGGACGAGAGAGAGACAGAGCGCGAGAGAGATGCAGAGAGATTCAGCGTCAGAAAGCATGTCCGAGCTTGAGCTGCCATCCTTGCAAAATTTGACGCTTTGCGCGATAGCTGTATGATTAGTCGGGGAAGGAGAGCCACCAACGTTCACCAAAGAGTTGTTTTGAAGCCCAGGTCGTTTGTTTGGTGTACATTTCGAAGCTCACGACCTACATACGCCCAGCGAGCCGTCGTGAAACGTGCTGATTTAAGAGACTGGCAGCACTTCTGCTACTCAGTGTTGAGCCGCCCTTGTTCTCTAACCGCTTATGATCTGAGTTACGCAAGAGACGTGAGCTTCCTGACTGCAGGTCTTGGGGTCTTAGAGGTACCAATAGCTCATGGAGAGATGGCTGGCTCCGTCGGATCTACCTCCAAACACTGGCCACTCATCCGAAATGCCCTGAACAGCAAACTAGACCCTATGCTGTGCAGGCGCTGAAACGCTGCGGCATGAAACCTCAGCACTCGAGGTCGTGGTAGTCTACAAACAACTACCCTGCGCCGAACTTGTGTAGGCACAGGCTCCAGCATCTTTACGGGTGTCAAAGCCGGACTCATCCAAGCCCTTTTGGATTCCCGGAAGAATTCAACTGGCGGCCTACACCAAGCCACGCCGACGTGAGGACATGGACTGATGTGACGGTGGAGCATACAGCCAAGTGGAAAAGACCGAAAGATTTCTGAGAGTATACATCAACATGTTGCTCAGACCGGGTGAGTGGAATGTCATTTGCCTTATCATTCGAGGTGACAGCCCCATCAAAGCCCTACGAAACTAAGCCACACAGGCCCCTAAAGAGAGCCCTGTCCAAAGCTTCTGCAGCTTTTTGTGTGGGATCCTGGAGCTTTGTTGTCCGCCTGCCTAGGTCTTTTTTCTGGGCCTTGCTCACCAGCTTCGGGCTTTGCATCTGCTTCCGCAGGCCTTTTGAGCTTTCAGGCTTTCCTGGGTTGTATATGGCCGGGAAGAAGATACTGAATCAGGCTGGCCTTACCTTGACTCCGTGACGGTGCAAGATGTAGGCTTTAGAAGAGAGTGTAGAGGATGCGGCGTGGCGAAAACGTCTTAGACCTGGGTCTTGGGCTGGTCTCAGCAGAGATGGCACATGTCTGTGAAACAAGCTCGTCCGGATCTTTACATGATTCGAGAAGTATTTCCCTACACAGACACAGGTATCCAACCTGCACGTTTCGCACGAAAGCCCAGCCCACGCTACAATGCCTACATAGCTGCCCCGCAAAAGTTTGCGGCGAACCTCGTTTGCACTGTCATGTGTCAGGTGCTGGGGTTGGGCCTTCTTTTCTTTGGGCTGCCGGTGTCTCAGAGAGTACCGCTTCAAGCAAATGCTAACGCGGGTTCGGTGGCGTAAGATGGCTGTGTGTGGGCCCAAACGCCCATTTTTCCGCATGGTTGAAGAAAAGACTCACTAGCTTCGGCAAAGTGCGTCTGAGCATTGTCTCTGCGACTCGTTCGACATGGCCACCGGAAGGCACTACCCCGAAACGGGACTTACCCAGCAGTGAGCTTCGAGCTATCAACACCCATATGCAGTTGGCTCCAAGTGCTACACTGTTACGCTGCCAAAATTTCAAGCCGCACCCTCTCGTTGCCCAAGCCTCATCTTTCCCTCCCTCCATCCCTGCGCAACTTCCCTGAGTGAGGCTGACGCTCCGGGAGTCGTTTGCCAAATCAAAGGCCGGATGAGAATTAATCTCAGCATGGAAACTATGTTTGTTGCATGTATCCTCTATGGGGAAGTCCTTAAAGGAACCCATTTTATAGATCTCTTCCAGGAACTCTCTGTGCCCTATGAGGCTGGATCGGGTGTCACCAGCGTGCTGCGGAGCCTCTCCAGCTCCAGCCTTGCAGGACTGCCACGCTGCAGCAGCCTAATAGTATAATCTGTTATGGTATAGTATATACCATAGTAGAACATACTAGGGCAGCTGGGTGAAGAGCCAGAAGACGACAGAGTGCTTCGGTGCGGCTTGGCGGGCATGGAGAACTGCCCACTTTTTCGGGAACTGTGAGCCGCAAATAAACCTGTTGCAGGCATGCGGTGGAGATTAGAGTGTACCGACTAGGGCAGCGCACATGTTCCGGAATCGAGCAGATGAAGTTATCGCACCGGTTCTTGTGAGACTGAGCATTCATGTGCCTTTAGAACCGAAACAGCTCGACAAGCTCTTCAAAGGATGCAAATGCAGCAAGTCTCAGGATCCGCAGATGCCCAAGATAATGAAGATTTCCTCTGCTTCAAAGAGAGCAGGCACGCCTGACTCGGGTCCACGACTGGCAGATCACGCTGTTTGGGTAGCGTGCAATTTGGTCTGCGATTGCCATCGAGTGCGTCGATCCATTATGTCTTTTTTCCAGCGACGCCCGGAGCAATTTGGAAATGCCTGAGTTTCTTCCGATTGGTTAGGGCTGTCGTATCAAGGCCGAAGCTGACGATGGGTGGCACTGTGCTTCTGCTGCTGTTGCTGGTCGACTCCTGCCATGCACATGGCGTTCTCTGCTTGAGGTTGCCCTCGGATCTTGCCTTGAAGGTCCTTGAACCAAATATCAGTCTTGATCTGGAAGGCAGACTGGAGCAGGGCCAACCCATGCAAACTTACTCCAGCCAGGGGCTCTTACTTGATGTGAAATGCCGGTATTGGTCTTTGCACATGGACTGGTTGCAAGCCACCACAGTCTGGCGAGCAAAAGCTGTGTTTGCAGGGACACGTTGGTGCTCAGGATTTCCTGTGCGAGATCGATACTGCACCTTGGTCCTACGTCCTAGCCGACGAACTATCCGTAAAATTTTTTTGGGTACTTCAGCCACACTTACTGTCGCCCGCCGGTCATACCTTGTCCATCTGAGGGGAGGCCGAGGATCTGGGCTCAGGCTTGAGGGCTTCGGATTTTGGGGCCTAAGCTTAGGGCTTCCATGAAGACTCGGCGATGCCTGCAGATTTTCGAATCGCTTTGACCAGGAAAGAGAATACTAGTACCGTCGGTCTCAGGTGCTGACGAAGATCGAAGAGATCCAGTTACTGAGACTGCATTCAATCGTTATTGGCAGTGACTGTTAGTGTTCCAGGCTCTGGGACGTGATCGGACTTAGGGGTATAGGATCTGGAGCTTGAGGCGTTAAGGCTTCACCGTTTCGGGGTTTAAAGTTGGGCTTTGAGCTTCTACTCGCGCTGGGATGAAATCTCGGAATGGTGAGTTTTGAGCAGTGGCATCCTGCCGTGACAGCGTGCTTTCGAAGAAGAGAAGAGTTCGCCCCCGCAATTCAGGCTAGGTTCAGGCGTACGTGGGGCTCACAGGAAGGTTTGTCGAAGAATGGGTTGCTTGCGCTTACGATTTCCCGGTCACGATTCGAGTTCCAGAGATGCGGTGTCAAGCGTGCAGATCTTGAATTCCAGGGCTACCCGAGACTTTCCACATGAACTTCCTTGAGAATTAGGAGCAGGGGACAGCCACACTCTGAACCATATGTCATGTATAAGAACTGAGTAATAGAGTTGAACGTTAGATTATACCACTATGGCACTCTGGAATGTGATGTACTAGAATACGAGCTAATAAAAATGACATGCAATATAACCTGGTAGAATAGGGATGCGATACCTAAACTCCAGGTCGCCCTTCGTAGCCTTCAGCTCGTCGGCCATGGCTGCCTTTGCTTTACCAGAGCTGTTTCTTGGCAAGGGTTTAGGGTTTACGCTTCGGAGTCCTGACTTGGGGCTTACGGATTTGAATCTGTTCTATTCGGGACTTTGAAGCCGTTCTATTCTGGAGTTTGGGGGTACATGCCTTCAGAAACCCAGGGCTTGCAGACGTCTTAACTTCAGCAAGCTTGTTATGCAAAACGATGATGGGAAGCTCGAGATCCTGGGGAAGAAGAGCATGAGCTGGAATACCGCGTGAGGTACATGCTCAGCCAGGACCTGCTGTTCCACTTCCCTCTTGTCTGGCACTCAGCGATGGATGCTACAAGCACTGATCCATCTGCCGGAGGGCTCATCCTTAACACCTCATCCACGCGACTACAGAGTCCTTTGTGGAAGCCTTTCCTCCAGGTACCAGCGGCTGCAGCCATGTCCCCCGAGTTTACAGCTCGCGTCATGCGGGCTTACACAAGCCCGAAGCACAGGGCAAGAAACAACGAAGCGTGTGTAAGACTCCTCCATCTGTACACCACGCCATACGCGTGCGGGCCTCATCGGCAAGTGAACCCAAGCTAGAGTATTTTGCAGAAACCCACCTTCCTATTAGACCCCGAGCCTAAAAAATAGAACTGAGAAGGAGAGCACCTGCACGGTGTAAATACCTGCTGAGCGCCATGAACCACAGCCTCGGCTGCGAAGATGCACTGTTGCCGGAACCACTGGGCTCCTGGCAGCATCTGAAGGACCGAGATGTTACATGATGTGCGTAGGGATCTTGTACTGCTGCTCGCAATGTTGCTCTCACGGCTCATCCTCCTCCTGCTGCTGTTGCGACGACGACTACTACGACTACGACCACCAGCAATACTACCACGACTTAAGTTTCTACGAGACAGAGACCAGTGACATGCTGCGGGTTCTAAACCCTCCTGAGGGATGATACAACAACAAACCCTATCGCATTTAAAGCCCGTCCTCAAGGTGCCAATAAGTTGCCTATGTAAAATTAGCCTGCCTCCTACAGATACTTTCATTATCAGGAACACCTTTACCGATAGGAGGAAGAATTTAGCGAAGCTAGGGGCCTAAATAATTACCAATACTATTTGGGGGGGTTTCCTTCTTATACTTATAGCATAATATACACCAAAACCCTCTTCAAATTATTATGGCCCCATGAGGCCCCTGCAATACTGCCGTTTTACAGTCGCAGCAGTCCCGAAAGACTGCATGATTATTTCACACATCCCAACGCCCGAATCGAGAAGATTCAGTGAGTAAGCCTGGATGGGTCATGTTCTTAGATCCCTGTCTCCCTGTGCAGGAGATTCTCGTGCAGATCCTCGTGGAACCTCGTAAGGGCTTCGAGGCCTGCTCGTCGTCTGTTGACACAGCGCAAGACATCTTCTGGCAATATCAGGAGCAGCCGTAGCAGTCCCAAACCAGTACTCCGTGGCCCTACGTCCCTTGACGCGCCACAGCTGGTAGTACCGCAGCCAGCATCGTAGCATATCGAATATGGAAATCGCTGCTTTGACATCGCAGGTGGACGCGGCAGAGCGCCTCTGCAGTAACAGGCAAGAACAGTTCGCAGTAGCCGTCGTCGTCGTAGTAGTAGTAGTAGTAGTAGTCGTGGTGGTAGTAGTAGTAGTGGTGGTGTCCTGGCGTCCCAGTACAAAGACTAGAATTCAGCACAGCTCTGGCATAACTCCATGAAAAGCAATCATGCCACAGCTGCTGATGCTTCATTCTCAGGAAATTCCCATAAACATGGTTGGTGCTACAAGCAGTACTAATGTTTCTTTCTTGTGCACTAATCCAATGCTCGACTATGCTCCTGTCATACTACACCCCCGTATCTGGCAAGCACCTGACAAACGTGTCTGCAAAACATTCGAGGAGTCGATGTGCCATTTCAGCAGGCCATCAAGAGCATCGCGGATGCCGTGTCCTCCTTGACGCCTGAACTGTGCACGTTGGGGCACCTGGTTTGCAGTCAGGTTAATAAGCAGGAAGAACCAGAATCTCTGTCATATCCATCGCCCTGAACCCGATTGCCGGCCAAGCCAAGCTGGAGACCCTACCCGGGCGGTTTCAGCGTACAACAGCGACCGTTAAGAACCAGGCACTACAGCCTGCGCGTGGCCTTTCTCATCTTCCGAAGTCCCGAAGAACGGCGCGAGGAATTGGAGGCAGAGGATCTTCCCTGGGCATTTGCAAACGCCACCACTGTGTCCTGGCAGCAGAGGGGGCGGCATCAATGGTTTGTTAGCACTTCGAGGCACGCGTGCCTCGGCTGCTCAAGCTACTCTGTTCAAGGCAGGCTTGCTACAGTCCGAGGTTGGTCCGAACCCTACGAATATTGAATAATGTTGGCAAGAGCTTGCCTTGCGCAGTATCTTACAGAAGATCTGTTCATAGTCCGTTTCGAAAAGAAACAAACAAAACAAGCCTGAACCCCGAAGCCAACACGCCAAACCCTCCCAGATCTTGAGCAGCGGATGGCCTGTATACGGGCTCTTGGGCTTGCTGGCGTACAAGCGCCTGGCCTCGCCTTTCAAGCTGTTTAGACTGTAGGGCTTCTTAGGGCGCTTTCGATTTCTCCAGGTTTGAGGTGACGGGTTTCTTTGTATGTCGTAGGATTAATTCAGGGATTTAGCTTCCTAGGTTTGGGCTTTAAGGATGCTTCTTGATCACATGTTGCCACTTGGTGGGGCATGCGCACAAGGAAGGAGGTACAGACAGAGTGGGATAGATGGATGCGCAGGGGTGGGCAGCAACACAGAGCGCTCGCAAGGCTAGGTATGTGTCTATCTATCGGTATGGACAGCTATGCCCAGCTATGCGATTGTAAAGATGCAAAGGTCAAGGTACATACTGGCGTTGGAACAGATCGGTAGCAGACGTTTAGCAAACTAAAAGGTTTGAACGTCTGTAGCCTGTTCTCGCATTCAGCGCTTCCTGCTTCAAAGCTGTGGAATCTACCAATCCCCAGGCCTTTCTCGCTAAACCCAACAGGCTTTCACGAGACGGCACTGCTGCGACGGATCGCTGCACACAGGAGGCCGAGTCGTTTCGATTGCGCTACGAAGATGCGATGTTGCGTGGGGGCGAAGTCGCATTCAGCTTCCCGGTGAAGAAAGCCAGACATGTCATCTCAGTCTTTCAATTCGCGTCAAACGCTGTCCCGCCCAGACATGATGACGAGGATGATGCGGGCTACTTTGGATTCGGACTAGAATCAGGCGGTCTGTCCTGTAGAACAGTTCTGGTCTGCGGCTCGAGTCGTGGGTTACGGTTGTTGCATGTGAGCCTCTGGATGTTGCCTTCCCTGGGTTGGATCACACGAAGTTATATCTGGTGCTGACTTTTGCAGTTGGCTCAGCAACTGTACGCATCTTGCTCCGCAGAGTTCTCACAGGTCTTCTGTGCCAGAGGAAGGGCTTTCAGCAAAAACAACACGATAGCATTAAGCTGCTACGATGTGCCACTTGTCCAAGACGGCAGCTGCTGCTGCTTTCATGGTTGCTGAGCATGGATGTTGTTGCTGTTGTTTGTTGTTTTGTTTCTTGTTGCTTGTGCTCTTGCTCGGCTGTAACTGCTGCTTTTCCGGCTGTGGTTATGTTTTTCTGACTTCATCTCGCTGTATACTAGTACAAATACAGCGCTGTCTAATCATTGCTGAGACTCATAGCGGTAACTTTAAACATTCTCCTTGATATCGTACGTAGTTTTAGCTTGCTTTGATTGCAAAGTAAGAGAATCCGTATAAACCCGCTTATCAGAACACTTACAGAAGCCCTTGCAGGAAGCGTTTTAGGAACCGTTGCAGAACCAATCCAACTGAGGCTCTGACGTTGAGAACACTGCGGTGGAACTCCTCCGGGGCCTATCCAGCCAGAACGCCACGGCTGCCCTGAAAGGGGCCGTGGCGACCACGCGCTTTGCCCGCCGCATGTCAATGTCTGTGATCGAGCTTGTCTGTGTGATGTAGTATGTTTTCGCCGTTTTGCCAGTGTAGATTATAGCTATTACGAGTACTCGGAGTTGCGCATTTCTCATGAGTCACAGGATCTTGAGGCCTGTTATCTTACGCGGGTAGACAGACGAATCATGATTATTCCTTGTTGGCCCGGTCCTTCCGTCTCGTGATCTACGAGTGCAAAGTGCAGGTACATTTATATGAGGTGGATGTTTTTTTCTGTTGGGCTCCGCGTGCAACACACTGTAGGGCACTTGGCTAAATTTCCCCACCAAGAACTTTTGTACGATGGGCAGGCCTCGGCAACTGTCGCAGAAGGACTGGGGAACGACTGTGTTGAAACAAAGCCCGCAAAGTCCTTCAGCCATCCTCCATGTATGTTCGCAAACCGTGAGACCTTCAAGAGACTCGGCCTGCCACCCCAAACACAGCCTTACAGCACAAGATTTAGCAGGTGTAGGTCGTGCCCCCGGAACCAAGAGAGATACAGTTTCCAATCTCATTTAATATAGTTGCAGGGCCTCGACATACGCTCTTGAAAAAGAGCAAGATAATCACGCCCAAAGCCCAAAACCCAACCCAAAAGATACAATGAGACCCCCACAGCCCTCCCTTGGCCACCCGTCATTAAACCCCTTAAAACAAAAGCCCTAAACCCTGTATAGGGTTGCTTGCCGAAAAATTATAGTATAATGCAACCCCCCCCCCCCTCCCACAAAACCCCATTCTAATTATGAAGGCCCCGATATTGTCAGCCCCACCTCGAGGCCGGGGCTGCCTCCTGGGAGCCGGGCTTCCCTTGCTCGGCTACGCCGCCTCGGTGTCCTGCCTTGGCCGACGAGATCCGGGGCTCCTGGGCTTCTTGCAGAAAATGGTGGCAACCTACGAGGAGCCTTTGGCTTATCAGGCTTGGAGCTTGCAGTTGAGGGGGTTTAGATCGGGGCCTTCATGACTAGAATTGGAGTTTTGGGGCCCATGATACTATGATTATAATAAAGAACCCCCAAGTAGTATTGGTAATGATTTAGGCCCTACATCAGTCTCGACTGGTTTGGAGGGCTGGATATATTCGAGGTTTTAGTCTCTGTCTGCAGGGACGCCTGACACACTGACATGCTTCTGGCAATTGCAGGCACAGTCTTAGTGCGTATAGTATTTCCATTCTCAGAATTACAAGCTCTACCGGTAGTAGGACCGGTAGAAGCAGTAGAATGGCTGAGGTGGTGGATGGTTGAGGTTCAAGGCCAGGCTGACTGTTGAGGGTGGATCTGGCAGTACACCTATTTCACGTCTGACTGCATTAGCCTCGTTCCCTCACTCCGCTGCCGGTAGTGGTAAGAACTGTATGGCTTTTCAAAAGCACGTGGGAGTGATTCCTTCCAGTTCCTAAGTCGTGAGGAGTACATGCTACACCCAATCGTTTAGAATTTTATCCCTTGTGTTGCAGACGTTCCCGCTGCCAGGACTTCTTCCTGCGTCCAGCATCAGGGTCCGACGCATGCCTCCCTCGCGCCCTCCATCCTGAGCGCTGCCAACCAGCGACGAGGCTTGGTTCTGGGGAGGGGAGTTTTGAATTAGCATCTTCTGTTTTCTTGTAAGCTTGGACAGGCAGGCAGTATTGCAAAGAATCGCACGCACACACAAAGACAAACACACACCCCTCTTACCGCTCGAATTGAAGTTAGGTTGTATGACATCTCGACAGCTACCCTGGCAGCCAGAACAACGGTCAAGGCAAGCACACAAGGTGACGGTCGGACTGATTATTACCTGCGAGACATCAGCTTCTCAAAGACACACTTGCGATCTGAAGCCAGATCATGAGTGGGTTGGTGGCAGTATTCGCGCACTTGCCTGCTCCCGAGTCTCTAAGGTGACGCAGGAAGAAAGACTACCCAATTTGCTGTCGGCCGGTATGTGGGCATCAGAGTCGTCGCTAGGCAAAGACACCATTTGCCCTCTACATTCACACTCCCACCGGCATCACAGGGACTGCGGCCAAGGCTACATCTGCTGCAGAGGATCTCCGAAACCTTTGCACGTGGCAACGACAAGCTCGTCGCTCTTCATGGTGGTCCCGTCACCGAGACTGGCAGGCACGATGCAGCAAAGCATATAGTGCCCTGATGGTTTTTGTTCCGAAGCTTGTGCCGTCGTTGATACGCTATTCCGCTGTTCTCGCTGGCAGGAAATTTCTGGTTTCCGTTGACCCCTTCGAGGACCAGTTTCATGGCTACGGTCTTCCAGCATTCACAAGCCTCTTGGACCAAGCCACGATCCACGCTTCAATAATCAGCAAGCGTAGGGCAGTACCTGGGACAGATGTTTGGATTTCTGATGTAAACTGCATGTTATAATTTGCGATGCCTGCACCAAGTTTGCTTGCGGCAAGTATAAGATTGACATCGGTTTTGTGCAGATAGCAGCGCAGTGGGTGAGTTTGGACTGGAAGTGTCAGAGCCCCAACCCGGCTTGAGCGCGGAGCGGCCTTGTCAAGCTCACCTGGGCTGGCAGTCGAGGTCATCTTTGGGCTGACCACCGGGATTTCCGTGTTCTCGAAGGCCGCCAGAGTGTAAGGAGATGTATGTGCAGGGTCGCCTGCAGAGAGCTACGTGCTTGTTGTTGCACCGTCCAAGGATTAGACCAGTCTCCTGTTAAATGAGGGTCATGATGTTCGTGCAGTGTGAGTTCGCATCTTGTGAAACTTGCCCGTCAGGGATTCGTTGTCCTGACGTGCTGATTGCCCGGGACTCTTTGCCGGGAATGCCTTTTCCGGGGGTTCTGGTCTATGTGGATCACGAGGCAAGCCGGGGTCTTTGCAATGAGCTCACCGAAAGAGACGGAAAAAAGGACGGTTTGATGAACCCTTGCTGCCTTTGCCCTGCATAGGCTGGGATAGGCCCGGGACGTGATGCTGGCACTCTGGCCGAGGCCGGCTACAGCCCAGTAGTTCTGACATGGAGTCATTGCTCGGTATATGTTCAGGCACTTCTGTTTCATCCTTGGGAACTGGCCTTCCTGCATGCAGGTCCTGGGCAAGTACCAGATCGTCTATTTGGGTGTTTTGTCGCCGTTTGCGGCCACCCACTGCATGTCCCGATACGGGACATGGCGCGCTCAGCAGCGACGAGTTTGCGCCAAGGCTGCCGACGTGCAGAAGTAGTGTGGCCGCCTGCTAATTCCGCACATCGGTTTCTACCCTGACTTTTGCTGTGCAAAACTCGGAAACCATCGCGATGGAGCTATCTTAATAGGAGCACAGCGAGCCTCTGAGCACCACTCGAAGCCCTGAAGCGGTCTGCAATTGTGGCAGCGCAGGTTTATGATCGCGAGATCTCTGGGAGCGCCCCCAGGGTCCTGCCACCCGGCCGGAAAAGTCACCTGCGGTGAGACAGAAGGTGCTATACAGATTCTTGACAGCGGCGCACAAGCCTAGCGACAAATAGCGTTCCATACTTTGATTTATATATTGCACAGGCTCAGTATCTGTACATATGCAACACATGCATGCATGCATGCATGCATGCATGCATGCATGCAGGCATGCATGCATGCAGGCATACATACATGATATAGGTATGCATGGGTGCATGCATGATCATGTGGGTGTCTATCTCTTCTTTCTTTCTCCATGGAAGTTGCAAGCGAGGGGAGTTTCCTAGGGTCCTAGACGGAAATGATTGCAGAGAGGCAGGTTGTCTCGCCGCAGGTATGTTCCTTTTGCATCGACCTCCTTCGCGGGACGGCAGAAGCACACGCCATTGGATTTGTCAACGCGGCCGCGTTCACCAGAGCGCAAGCCCTTCCTTCTGGCTTACATGGCGTACGTCTCGCGATTGCACAGACTTTCAAAGCCTTTGTCGACTCATAGCTAGGACCTAGGAGTTCTAGGAAGAAGACATGATTGTTAGATGGGCGTTAGAGAGTCTTGCGGTTCTTCTGGCTTTCGTGGCACTGGTGTCTCGAAGGAGTGCAGAGACTCATAGAGACTCCCAGTAAAAAGCGCCCAGACGAGGCCTGCGTCGACCATCGGGAAAGGATCTTCGACCTTCTGGTCCAGGCCGCAGCGCAGAGGGGCTTGGAGCCGCCTGTGGCGCTCTCGCGGTGCGCTGGCTACTCCTCGGGTCATCGGAGGCGCCTAGAATTGGCTTAGAAAGGCTCAATTGAGGTCGCCTGAGTCGGAGGACATAAGTTAAGGCGGTTGAGGTTGAGGATTGCGGTACTGTGCTGGGCGACACGATGGTATGTTGCACCTTGCCGCATGCCATGCCAAGCCACGCCACGCCATGCCATCCGATACAGTAGTTAATAGTTAATACCATCAATCCCATAATTACCATAGCATCTCTCCTTTTCGATACTACACAGCACCATACCATGCCATACGATGCCATGCGATGATCTACGATGCTACCAGACCAGGCTACACCAGACCGGACCACACCATGCCATGCCCGACCATCCTGTACTGGACTTTACTGTGCTGTACTGTGCTATACTACCCTATGCTATTATAAGGCCACTACACTATACTACTCTATACCCTTATACTATATATACTATATACTATACTACACTATATTACACTATATTACACTATACTATACTATACTATACTATACTATACTATATACTGTACCAGACTACTGTAGGTCAAGCATCCTTCTTTGACGCGACAGGGTGCGGAACGACTCCCGGGACCTGGCAGCATCCTTTCTGGACGAAGCGGTGGAGCTTCTGCGGCCTTATACTTTTGCATTGGTCTTTGAGAACAAGCTCGTCCCAGGACTGGGGACTAGGGTTTTCTGGTTTAGGTGCCATCCTAGGATTTGAATAGCTGCTATTTACTGCTTCTTCTTCCTCCTACTACGCAGAAGACCCCCTGGGTACATTGCATAAGCGTGTGTGCGTGTATGGTTCCTGGTGAACCATCGGCTTCCTTATCCTGTGACTTCAGCTTAGCCAGAAGCGCTTTGCCGGGGCTGGTGAAGGAGAGTATCGTGTTCAGTTTCTTGGCAGCTCCGGAAGGATTGCGGAGTCGGGTCCGCAAGATTTTTACATAATCGGAGCCGCTATGACATGGATGAATCTGAACCTGTGGTAAGCAAGCCGCAGGATACGTGACTGAGAAGATTGTCAACGCATTTCTGGCCGGGTGCATCCCCATCTATTGGGGATCCAGGCTGGCAGCGTTTGAACTATACGATTTAGATTGTGAAGCATATGCCATCTCCACTTCTGCGATCCGATCCGATAAAAGCCGCTGCGGGTTCCCAAGCGACCTCCGGGATTAAACTTGACTGCCACTTCGTGCCGGAATCCTGTTGCGGCTGCAGGGCAGTTCTGGACATCTTCAATCCAAGCTCCTTTATCTATGCCAACGACATACAGGCCCTCGTTGCTGAACCGATACACGTCGACACGACACAAGCAGCTTGGTCAGCAGCCGCATGAGCCCCTTTTTGGAAGGCCGAGGAGCCTGCAGACGACTATTCTCCAAGCGATCCACTAGAAGGCTGGGCCATGGAGCGAGGTTTGCTAACACTTTATGTGCTTTTTGACAAACCTCCAGTGCGAGCTCCGCCTGCAGAGGACTGCACCGAGTGGTGGACCACGTTCGCTCCTAAGGCTCTGCAGTTTTGATGCTACGGCTGCAGCCACATGCGTTCATATCATTCATGCAGTCTTCGTGGCTGCATGACAAAAGCCATCTTGTCCTCGGTCGACATTGTCGGCATTTTACCGAAATTCTCAGATACCTCAACATAGTTCCACTTCCTTTTGCTTGCCAAGGTGATGAATATTGCACAGGATCCTGTGGCCTTACGGAAAATGGCCTCTGAACCTATCCTTGATGCCAGCCGCCGCTTGAAAGCGATGACGTCATTGAGTGTCACGTCAAATGGCTAAAAAACATGACGGCAAAATTACAGTACTGTTATCATACCTGTTAGTAGGATCTGAGAGGATCTGTTTTTAAAGGTGTCGCCGGCATACACTATTCGTCTCGTCGTTTTGTCTTTCACGGGCGTGCTTAGACTTGGACCCAGACCTATCTGCCGCCGTGCCTAAGAGAGTTGCAGTCCGAAGCAATTCTTTGCTATAGGCCTTCGCTGCTCTTGACACCAGCTGCCTTTCTGAGGACACCGAAGATTCTTTTCTTGGCACAGCGCGGTTCGGGATTGGCTACGGTCTGGAGATCGCCTACAATCTGAGCATCACGAGGCAGAGCTTCTCGCACTTCGCTGACGCTGTGTTTGACCCGAGCTTCTGATGTTGGAAGGACCTCCTACCGGAACGCATTGCCAATGCCGAAGCCTGACTTCAAGATTTCTACATTGAGATGATTTGAGATGAGATTTGGTTAAGAGAGCAAGATGGTTGCCCCAGCTCCCTTGGGCATAAGCTGCCGGGAAACTCAACCCGTCGCATCGTGATAGTCCTCTCCGGCTGGTTTCGTCGCGCTTGCAATTGCGGAGACATGGCACCCTTTAGGATAACTCATCCTCATCCATGTGTGCGCCCGAAGTGTGTACCTCCTAGGTAATGGCTTTGAAGCCCCGTCGCCGGCAGCTCTGCGCAGACGGCAGGGCTTGTGAGGGTGTTCTTGAACAACTACCTCAGACAGAGAACGGGGGTCGATGTCGAAGAAGCAAGTGCTACAGCCATCATTGCAAATGTCAGGTCGTACTGTACGTAAGTGTAAGCCCGAGCCGCGTGCAAATACAAAGCAGGTTGGCATAGAGACAGCAAGTAGCGCGGACTTGAAGAAGCAGGATGTGTCTACATGTGGAGGCAGTCTCCCTGAAGGTTGGCGCATCTGCACAGCTGAGCTCTGACTGTCGTGCTGGAGTGAGAAAACGGCTCGCAAAATGGGTTGTGCTGTTGTTGCCAGCACAAAGGGAGCAGCAGAGTGGTGCAGAAATCGGTGAGAAGAAGAGGGGCTGCTGCTTGATGAATCTATGGGGAGAGTTGATCAATGGAGTTCTCAGACAAAGGTGGTTTGAACTATGAACCGTGACGCAAGATCGTCTATGTCGATTCAAAACTCAGGTCAAGTACGGAATGGGTCTCATCCTGTGCCTCCTCGGCTGCCAGATGATTCTGGCTCCGATCGTCCTGCTGCAACCCCTGCTGCCACTTGGCCTGAAAAAGCCGCGAGGGACTCCTTCGAAGGGACCTGCAGCACTTCTCTTGCGTAGAAACACATGCCCAGGACATGTGGCCTGATGCTGGCTATCATCTTGGCCTGGGGCACAGCCGTGGACCGATGGTCACATTGAAGAATAAAGTTAACCTAGAGCAGCCTCAAGGCATCATGCAGCATAGGCCACGGTCGAATGTTACAAGCTGTGAGAAGTAGAGTAGGGGTACATCTGACGCAAAACGACGGAAAGCAAGGCGGACTTGCCTACAAATCACACATTTGGCTGCCGGAGCAAACGTCCAACTGACACTGTCCGTCTAGTTGGCCACAATTGAAATCTAAGCGATGGTAAGATTGGTTTCGACACGGCGCTTCTGAGATAGTTCACGTCTGGAAAGATTCATATGAGGCATCAGGGCGGCGCATAAAATGGAGTTGAATGGCCGGGGCGACAGAAGTGAAAGCTGAACAGAAGAAGAGAAGGTGGCTGCTCATGGGAGCAGAGCTGCCCTGAGCACGTACGATGCATAGGTGTATGTGTATGTATGGATTTATGTATGTATGTACGTATGTATGTATGTACGTATGTATGTATGTACGTATGTATGTATGCATGTGTGCATCTATGTATGCAGTATGTATGTATGTTTGCATGTATGCTTGTATGCGTGTATGTATGCATGTATGTATGCACGCCTGCCTGTTTGCCTGTCTGCATGCATGCATGTATGTCTGCAGGAGCTGACCAATAGTTAGGTAGGTTCAAAGGCAACTTTCCGTCGTGACAACGAAACCAAGAAGTTGCAATCCATGGCGCCCTTGAACAGTAGATGCCAAAGCTCTGAACCGCCAGTCCTTACTCTTCCTCAGACTAAAGCGTCCAAGTTGTTCGTCTCCATCTCTGCGGTCATGCGGCCGAAGGGGGAGCAGGGAGCAGGCGAAGGCCACTGGGGACGGAGGATTTGGTTTTGGATATCGACTTTCGGTTTCCGAGTTTAGGGTTGAAGGTCTTGAGTCAGTCTTGAGGGCTCCGGTCGTCACTTCCGTTGTTGTCTAAGCACATGCAGCCTGAAGACTCTGTGCCACTTCATCCGACACACCTGCACCCCGGGACTCGAATGTCGCAGCCTGTGACGACTTCTTTGAAACCGGTGACTGAAACAACCGTAGTCTTTGCCCTGCATGTGCAAAAGCTCGCCGTCCATGGCGCGCAGGAATTCAGGAGGCAAGCTGACAGGATGATACCGCAGATCTGAAAGCATTGCGGAAAAGTTTGCATGCCAGAAGTCTCTCGAAGGAGACTTTGGTGCCTCACGGCGGCAGGCATGATTAGGCACGCGATACAAGATTGCGGCGTTAGATTACACAGAGCCTTTCCTGGGACTAGCCCCGGAACGGAGGATCCTCCAGATACTGGTGAAGCAGACACAGTTGACGTAAATTTGCAAACACGTCACTCCATGACAAGCACCTAAGCTTTTTGAACATGTCAGCAACTCGGACAAGGTTAAGGGCAATTTAAAGACACTGTTTGACTGTCAAAAGCGTCAGCCCATGGCATCCCGGCAGCTACATCCAGAGTCACTGTTCCAATCAAGTTTCTGACGACCGAAAGGATCAACCGCTCAAGTTGTTCTCGGCTGAGGGATCCTCAAAAGAGGCCCGAGAGAACCAAAGTCATGCCGATCCTGCGTTGGCACCGAGATTCATCACAAAATGCGTTGCCGGAAGCCGCATGCTGACTCATCTCCGTACCCACACCCCGCTCGCACCCCACCCACTCACATGCACACGACATGCATGCACTCAGCCGAGAACGCACAGAAACACAAACACACCTGCACAGCCGTTCAGTCAGTGGTTTGGGCACCGTCAAAAAGCTTTCTGGTCTTGGGTCTTTCTGTTTGCACTTGAAGCCAAGCCGCGCGAGCAACAGGCCGACAGATTCAAAATTCGCTCCTGCCTGCTGCAGCTGAAGCACTAGAGACACTAGAGACAGTCACACGGCTTTTGGTAGCTCTGCCGTTTTCGTGATGCTTGGAAGATGCAGCTCCATGATCGTGGGCACGGCATTGGCAAGGCCAGACAAGATACTATAAGAGTTGTGCAAGTGCGTGAACTGTAAAACTGCATAGACAAGAGTTCAATACGTTTTCCGGGCCAAGCGTTCATGTAGTGGTGGTGATGCCGCTGCTGCGATCCGCGCCGCATCCTCAGAGCTCTCTGCACCTGGCTCATGCAAGCACATAAAAGCCAGCATCGAGGAGCTTACTCGTAGCTGTCATTGGCTGTTCACAGAGATACTGCAGGCAGCCAAGGGATTGAGGCAAGTTGACATTTCATGGCAACATGTGATGCATTCAGAAGTTGCCCTCTTGTGCCTGAACCTTGCACTCCGACTCCAGGCCCTAAGGCTTTAACCACGCACTGGCAGATGCGGTTGTAGTTGCTGTTGATGGCAGTGTGTCACTTGTCTATCTTTATCGTTTCTTGCCGCTGCTGTTGCTGTTGCTGTTGCTGTTGCTGTTGGCGGTGGCGGGGACGGTGGCGGCGGTGGTGCTTGTGGTGGTCGGCATGACGTTGTCGTTGTAGTACTTGTCTTCGTATTCCTTCGGTTCTTGTCGCTGCAGCCACCAGCACTTGCTGCCACGCCGGATACGCTCTCAGGCCGCGGCTGCTGAATCGCTTGCCGAAGAAACCATCCATAACGGCTCCGGCCTGAGAGGCGGTACCCGCCATAGGGCCCCCCAAAAAGTATTTATACTGTTTTGGTGGTTCCTGATTGTTTTTTCAGATATAGTATAGTATAATCGTTGGCTCCGGCTGAGCTTCATTGAAGGTGCAGATGCATTCTGACCAAACGGATCCTGGGAATGGGTTAACACTCTAGAGCAACATTCATCAGTGCCAGAGTATTACCGCAGTCATGTTTCGACAGTGCTTGCGAACTGTGTTCCTGAGAGATGCTGATTTACAGTAACAGTAGTACAAAGCTGCCTGCATCTACTTCGCTGAGGACTTGGTATGTTCGCCCCTTAGCCACGGCTATGAAAGCTTCGAAGAGACTATTTCGAGTCATAGCTGAGCCGGTTTCACGTCAAGTCACACCGAGCTGATCTAGGAAGACTCGGCAATCAGGCGGTCGCTGCAACCATAAGATAGACACGAAGGAAGGCCTCCAGCTCTTTCTGAGGCCGAGGGGGTGAGAGGAAGTGCCCTTTGTCCCGACATTTGTATGTCCTGGCATGGAAGTGATGCCTCCAATTCAGAACTTCTTCTTGAAGACCGTTTTATCGAATCTTTTCCTGCTGCGGGCAGGCGCCACATGCCGGATGCGTCGTTCTCAGCTAGGACAGCCAACGTGAGGGCTACTGCTAGGTTCCTAGTAGAGCCGACCTCAAAACTTAGACAAGTGCAGCACGCAACCTGCAAGGGTGGTATTGCTCAGGTATTCCAACAGCTCATGCGCTAACCTATGCCCGTTTGTGCAGCAGACGATACAGCATCTGCACACATAATACCGGCATGTTGCACATGCTAGTTCCCAGCTACCTCTCGGCTGGAAATATTTACTTCTTTGAAGATAAGGACTTTACACTTCGACTCTTGCTGCTAATGCTGTAAGTGACAACCACATGTGGCCAAGTTCTGCACGTATTGTTACTATAGTGCAGCTGATGGAAATAGTAGTTTCCTAGTTGTAGCGCTGCTAACGTCAGCAGCTTCTACCCTCCCCAATTCAATCTTTTCCAATTGTTTCATCAGTTCAGCGGTCGAGAGCCAAATATGTCACCGAGCTTAACTTGACATGGAGTGCAAGCTTTGCGGCGCCTCGCAGTATGCACGCGTGCAAACCTGTGTTAGCACCTTCAGCAGGGACACCAATGTTCTTAAACCTCTAGGCCTGGCTAAGCCCACTACAGAAGTCAAGTAAGCAAAAAATATACACGGACAAAAAAAGAGAGAGAGAGATATATATATACATATATATATACACATACATATATGCTGCGCGCCCCTAAAGCCCGCAGAATGTATGAAAATAATCATAATCCAATTATTATGTGCTTATGCTTCAATCCCGACACACAGCGATTCCGACGCTCGAACTGGTTCGTGTCTTCTGTGACACACACACATACACAACACGAGAAATCGCAGCGGGACAGAGATTCTGCCAGGTCTCATAGACATGAGAGCCCTTTCAGGGAAGCATGGCAGTAGCAATAACAGTAGTACTAATACTCCTACGAATACTAACATCATATTCATACTCATACTCATACTCATACTCATACTAAGATGAATATTTGTACTAATATGAAGTTAACCCGTGTTCTTCGATAAATGCCCAGATTTGTATTACTAGTAATACAAATCTGAAAATGCGAACTAATCATGATACTACTATTGATATTAAATTGCAAGACCAGTACTTCTACTAACACTACGTATTACTCATGATAATAGGGATACTAGAACTAATATTCTTATCAATATTAATGCTACTACTAAAACCAGTACGAAACTCAAGAGTAATGCTTGTACAAACTGCTCATAGCAACAGTGATACCAGAACTAGTGTTCATATCAATTTTGATGCTACTACTAACACCGATACAGACTCAAAAGTGATACTTATACAAATATTCCCGCGAATACGAATCATCATATTAATACTAAGATTCATGC